CATTAGCTGGAAAACAGGCCACCCATTTGGTGTGGGTCACCCTGCAGATGAAAGATAATAAACGATTGCCACTTTAAGCCTCTAAATTTTAGGTCACTGGTTTTTTATTTGAAAGTAGAAAAGTGTTGGGAAGTAAAGTACTGAATGCATAACAAAAGCCTAAAACACGTTCATGACAAAGAACCTTAACTGTCTAGGCCACAGTGCTTAAATTTTTTGTTTGTTTGTGTGTTTGTTTTTTTGTTTCTTGAGACAGGATCTCACTTTGTAGTTGAGACTGACCTGGAACTCACTATGTAGCCCAGGCTGGTCTCAAACTCACAGTGACCCTCCTGCCTCAGCCTCCCAAGTGCTGGGATTATAGGCATGTGCCACCACACCTGGCCACAGTACCTAAATATTGGTCAGACATATCTGGATGTTGCTTGAAGGTATTGCTTAGGTTGCAGCCCCAAAATGGTACAAGCCAGAGCTCCCGCCCACATACGAATTCCCGGTCCTTTTTCGCTGGAGGCCCTGACTACCACACTGTGGCATCAGCACGGATACTGGCAGCAGACAGAAGAAGGAAGGTCTCAGGCTACAAGTGCAGGTGGGTGGAGCAGCACTGGAGGCTGCAAGGATGTCAGCCCGCCTCGCCGGTAACCCTGGGTAACAGCGCTGTCACCTGCGCACGTGGAAACACGAATGCTCCTTGTGAGCTCAGAGGCCTGGCTAAGCGGACTTCCAGGCGGAACGTTGGAAAGCCCGCTCATTTCTTTTAGCTGTGTGAGCTAAGGCACAGAAAGAAAGAGAGGGAAGAATTCCTGATATATATTTTTTAAAGCGGAATCAAGAGCAAGCATTTTCAAGTTGGAATTTGCTGCGTTTGAAAATAAAACTGAGTCACAGATTTAGCTCAGTGGTGTCCACCACCTGCCTTGCAAGCCCAAGGACCGGAGTTTGATCCCCAGTACCAGAAAAGCAAAGAGAAAGAAAGAAAAGAAAACTGAAAGTTGGGCATGGCAGCTAGTGCAGGCCTGTAATCCCAACACTGAGGGAGGCTGAAGCAGGAGGATCACAAGTTCTAGCCCAACATACAGAGGTGTGAGAAGATAGGGAAAGATGGTTTACCTGGCCAAGTTTATTCCCTGGTAACAGTCCTAGGTGACATTAGCTGGAAAACAGGCCACCCATTTGGTGTGGGTCACCCTGCAGATGAAAGATAATAAACGATTGCCACTTTAAGCCTCTAAATTTTAGGTCACTGGTTTTTTATTTGAAAGTAGAAAAGTGTTGGGAAGTAAAGTACTGAATGCATAACAAAAGCCTAAAACACGTTCATGACAAAGAACCTTAACTGTCTAGGCCACAGTGCTTAAATTTTTTGTTTGTTTGTGTGTTTGTTTTTTTGTTTCTTGAGACAGGATCTCACTTTGTAGTTGAGACTGACCTGGAACTCACTATGTAGCCCAGGCTGGTCTCAAACTCACAGTGACCCTCCTGCCTCAGCCTCCCAAGTGCTGGGATTATAGGCATGTGCCACCACACCTGGCCACAGTACCTAAATATTGGTCAGACATATCTGGATGTTGCTTGAAGGTATTGCTTAGGTTGCAGCCCCAAAATGGTACAAGCCAGAGCTCCCGCCCACATACGAATTCCCGGTCCTTTTTCGCTGGAGGCCCTGACTACCACACTGTGGCATCAGCACGGATACTGGCAGCAGACAGAAGAAGGAAGGTCTCAGGCTACAAGTGCAGGTGGGTGGAGCAGCACTGGAGGCTGCAAGGATGTCAGCCCGCCTCGCCGGTAACCCTGGGTAACAGCGCTGTCACCTGCGCACGTGGAAACACGAATGCTCCTTGTGAGCTCAGAGGCCTGGCTAAGCGGACTTCCAGGCGGAACGTTGGAAAGCCCGCTCATTTCTTTTAGCTGTGTGAGCTAAGGCACAGAAAGAAAGAGAGGGAAGAATTCCTGATATATATTTTTTAAAGCGGAATCAAGAGCAAGCATTTTCAAGTTGGAATTTGCTGCGTTTGAAAATAAAACTGAGTCACAGATTTAGCTCAGTGGTGTCCACCACCTGCCTTGCAAGCCCAAGGACCGGAGTTTGATCCCCAGTACCAGAAAAGCAAAGAGAAAGAAAGAAAAGAAAACTGAAAGTTGGGCATGGCAGCTAGTGCAGGCCTGTAATCCCAACACTGAGGGAGGCTGAAGCAGGAGGATCACAAGTTCTAGCCCAACATTCAAACTTAGCAATTTAGTGAGACGTGGTCTCAAAAAGCAAGAAAGCAAGAAAGCAAGAAAGAAAAGCAAGCTGGGGTTGTAATTCAATGTAAGGTCTTGGGTTCCATCCCCGTACTGCCAAAAACAGAAGAAAAAAAGAAAACTGTCATTCTCAGTGTTTTCTGGAAAAGATTATCAAAATAAGAAATAGGCATAAGGCAATAATCAAATCCAGGAAGCTGCCAATAAAACACGTTCAGAGTTGAAATTCCAGGGAAGTGGCTGTAAGACAATATGCATATAAATATTATCGAAAATATATAAAGAACTCCACTTGAAACAAACAAAAGAAATAAGTAACTCAATAGAAATGATTAAGGATCTGAACAAACAAAATCACAAGGAAAGTATAAACAGCCAGTAAAAATATACGAGATGGCTGGGGATGTAGCTCACTGGTTCTGCTGCCTGCCTCACAATCACAAGGACCTGAGTTCGATGCGTGGTACCAAAAATAGATAGATAGATAGATAGATAGATAGATAGATAGATAGATAGATAGATGGAGATACACACATACAAGATGCTTCTTGGAGAAGAACTAGAAGCTATTTTTCTCATAACTAAAAAGATTGAAGATACTCAACGATGATGAGATTATGGGATCCCATGATATCTCAAGCTATCCTCTGATAGCTTGATGTGAGTGTGCGAAATGGGAGAGCTATTTTGGAGGGAATTTGGAAACATTAGAAACTTGAAAAAATTACAATTTAAAATAAAAGCGTTGACTCAACAATCCCAGCCCTAGGAATCTGCCCTCCAGGGTCCACACATGTAACACGAAAGCACAAGGACAAAGACACCTCTCCCCAGTGGAAGGAAAGTTTCCTAGGAGTGGGAGCGTCATCATTCACTCCTATACCTTCCTTGGTTTGTTGCCTGGAACATAGTAGATGCTCAACAAGTATTTTGTAGAGTGGGATTTTTAAAAATGGTAAACAAAGTAATTTTCTGCCAGCTGGAAATGGTTACATCTACCCTATGGGATGTTAAGAGATGTTGAAAAGAATAAAGTAGATCAGTACAAACCCACTGAAAGCTCCAAGATCAAGTATAAAAATGAGAACACAAGTACTGCTGCCGGAAGCTTCATTTGCTGGATTGCCACCAGGCATTCATGTAAATGGCCTTGATCTGTATTTATTAGTGTGGAAATCTAAACATTTCCAAAGCAGGAACACTGAAAACTTAGGATAAGGAGGCTCCTCCTACTCTTCATAATCTGTCCACTTGGCGGATGCTATCATTTTTTCCATTTTACAGCCGAGAATGCCCTGGCACAGATGAATTTACGATCGATCGCACCCCAGGCCAAGATGCAAACCCAGGTGGTGAGACTCCAGAGCTGATGTTCTTAGACCACCCAAGAAGGTTGCCATGGGCTCTGAAAAGAGTCTGCTCACTCGGTATTTATCGTCGTATCTCCCCTCTGAGTCAAGCTTCTGGACACGACCGGCTACTGTTATAGTCGCCGTCTATGGAACCTAGATGAGGAGTAGAAGTCAGTGGCTACGAGTGCAGTCTCTAGCCGAGTTTGGGCAGATTACTCAAACCTCAGTTTGCTTATCTGCAAAATGGGAACATCAATTGGAACCCTCATCTAGTCGTTAAAGGACGGAATGGCTGAACATTTTGAAGTGCTCAGGACCTGCAGTAATCACCGTATTGTTACTAACTCGTTTCTATCCAACGTGGGTGAGTGGGTGGGTAAGATATAAGATGCTTGTACAGGTGTGCGCCGAAATATTAACAGGCTATATCCTGTCGGTTTGTAACTGGATTATGATTAAATATTAATTTGCTAATATTTTGCTGAATATATAGAGATGCGTACAGATATGTGGAGCAAGGATCAACCCTAAAAGCCATGCGGTTTCTGTGTGTCTCTGTCTTACCATAGGGTATGCACATCTGAACAATAGTATGATTTCATCAAAATTGATGAAACAACCAGAAAGTTTTAACTCTACAATTAAGGTGAGAATAAAAATAAGCTTTGTTTTTGCTTTTGCTTATGCTACCGCTCCCTCCCTTTCTTTTTCTTTTCCATTTTTATTTTTGTTTTGAAACAAAGTCTCTCCAAGTGGCAAAGTTGCCCGGGCTGGAGCTTGTGATCCTCCTGCCTCAGCCTCCCAGAAAACTGCTTTTTAAATGCCATTTCGAGTTGGATTTTACATTGAACGGCAGAGTATAGCCCCCAAAAGCTCCTCAAAGTCTAGTTTCTCTTTCAATTAGGCATTTAATTATCTGTAAACGAAACTCTTCGGGGAGCCCCCGAGAACCCTGGAATGTGAACAGTTTGTAAAACCTTTAGGTCTCTGCGTTAGACCCCAGCCGCTGAGCGCGGGAAGCGGCGGTGGCATTTCGGGGTGAGGCATCTTGCACCGTTAAACAGAGTGCAGCCTCGCAGCTCCCCGGCAGTCTGCAAAACTTTTAAAAACGCGCTCTGGGGAGAGCCCAGCGCCGGGGACCGACGGGAACGCAGCGACCCTGGGCGGATTCTGAGGTTCGGGTTTTGCTAAGGGTCACAGGCATCGGAGGCGCTAGAAGAAAAAGAGCGGACTGCTCCGTGCAAAGCAGCGAAAACGACTCCGGGGCCTGGCCCTTCCGACACCGCTCCCTCCCGCGGGCTCCCCGCGGCCTTCTCGGGGACACTTGCCACGCACGGTCGGAGTCTGGCCCGCAGCCGAGGTGAGCGGTCGGAGCCGGGCGCCCCCGAAGCCACTCACCGGAGCCCCGGCCGGAGGAGCTGGGTGTAGGCGTAACACCGTCCCAGGACGATCGCGAACAGGTTCTGCGTGGTGCCCGTCCCGTTCCACGCCAAGGGCTCGCGGGTCCGTGTCGGGGACCGGGTCAGGGCTACGAGCAGGACCACAGCGCAGACGATCAGCACCAGGAGGCCGCAGCCCAGGCAGACCCGGCATCTCCGAGACAGCCGGCAGCAGGGTTCGTCCCGCGACGACTGGCTGGACTCACAGTGGGCCATGAGAGGGGGTCATGCGGGCGGCG